ACCACAGGGATCCAGGCTATGCTTATTCCAATAAGGACCACAATAAACACCCTGAAAGGAAGAATAAACAAAGAATAATGGCTATAGCCAAGCATGAAAACAGTAATCATATTAACATCAAGCCAACACAGTTTTACCTGCCAGCAATCATCAGTTCCCTCTCTTTGGCACAGGGACGGACCTTAGTATAGATGTCCATGGTGAAGAGAGTACTAGCACTGTTAAATATTGAAGTAAGGGAGCTCATTAGAGAGGCCAACATCACTGACAGCATCAAACCCCTCAGACCTGAAGAGAGACAGACAAAGGCGAAGGAAAACATAAAGAAACAAAAGTGTTGATTGAAATTTTAAGACAATGTTGTCGATCCACTCACCATTTGGCATAAGATCCACAACAAGTTTGGGATAGGCAATGTTGGTGCATCCAACACTAGCTCCACAGTAATCGTTACATTCTTCCGGGATCACACATGCCACCACATCTGAATGTTTTAAGAAATTGTTTACACTTTATTGTTGTTTTACACCAGATTTTTCGCTCAAGACAACAGAACTTGGAAACAGAAAAACACGCACCAGGATACAAGATCCTGCTTATCATCCCAGGAAAAACCATGAGAAACATGGGCAGCAGCTTCAGGTAACCACACAAAATGCAACCTGCTTTCACATGAGAGAGATTCTTGGCTGAGAGGCAACGCTGGACAATCACCTACACAAAAAGACGGAGCATTTAAAGGCAGTGTTAAATACTTAATTCTTCTACTGTATCAAGAAAAATGTTTGGATTTTTTTAGCAGAGCTTTTGCTGCTTTACGTCATTTAAAGTTCGTCACTCAGAAAAACTCTAAAGTAATTTCAATAAATTGTAATTGGTTGTGGTGAATGTGCCTGTAAATGAATAACTATTTCTGTGCATGCAACTTTGAGTGAGCAGATGAAGCACAAACATATTGATGATTTCAATTTAAGGCAAATGGAGCTTTTGAGATGAATCATTTGAACTGAGCCATAAATTAATAAATGGCAATGTTAGAAAACAAAAGCTAAGTAAAAGTATGACTCATAGTAATATTAGGATAACGACTATTACATGTACTGGACATTTCTTATCTTTTAATAAAAAACAACATGGCAGATGTGGCTATTGACAGTCGTTAGATTATACAGTATGTCCGTTTACCTATACATTAGACACATTTAGCATAGCTTGTCGTGCACATTACATAGCAACAAAACATAAACATCATTCACTATGACTAAAATTATTTCAATGAAAGCTAACCAACAGAGACACACACAAGTACTTTCTCTCATTTGAAAATGGGTCAAATTTGGTCTGTTTTACATTTACTGTCGGTGTTAAAGTAAAAACAGGATGCCATTATTTATTTGTGAACTGAAGAATTTGTGTCTAGGCAACTATAGGTTCAAGAAATCTCAGGACGTTAGCAAAATATTTGTAAAGTAATTGCAATTCAGCTCATAGATCACCCTTTTACTCCAAAGGGCTATTATATGACATGGCTCTTCACTATCAGCTGGCAACCTTAGACCGCCTCAGTGATTTTGTCCAAAACAGGCGAGATAAAAGAGCGTGAATGCGCGTACGGTTATGTAAAAATCAACTGGATGAGTTTATGGCCTTAGATTGTTTCTGGTATGCAGTAAAACCTGTTACTGAGTCAGTGGAATTAAAGCATCCACACAGTCAAAGGTACTGATAGTATTTTTACTGACCTGATCAGTGCACCAGTACCAGGTGGCCTGGATGGTGAGTCCAAACACCAGGCCGGGCCAGGGCAGGTCTCCTGTTATTGGATCTCTGAAAAGGTGGAACGAGTCTTTCCGAGGTTCATAGCACTCTGCACTGATGTTAGAGGTGTTTGTGGGAATTGCAGCCATGTAGCGTGTCTCGAAATTTGCATAACCCCCCACTTCATTGAAAGCTGAGGGAAGACAGGGAGATATGGTTACACTAAGGCTCACTCTTCCATTTCTTAATGATGTCACAATGAAACAAATCAATAGTGCAAGATAAAATAATAAGGATTATTGCTTATTACCAAAACCCATGAGAATGAAGGATCCAATAACCATGATGACGGTCTGTAAGGCATCTGTATATATCACCGCAGCAAGTCCACCTGAAATAAAACATGGCGTTAGCAATATGTAACCTTTTTATTCAGAAGTGTAGACAGTAATATGTGCACTAGAGTATAGGATTATCTTGTTTTTATGTCTGTTCTTTTCCCGCTTGTCTTGTAGAAGTTATGTGAAGGTGTGTGCAGATTATTGCAGAGCAGCAACTATTAGAGGCTTATTGTACTCCATGGGCAATTAACCACAAACACACCACAGATATACAAGCCAGGAAAGGAGGAGTTTTCTCTTTACATGTGTTTTTGATCTACCCAGTACATTCAGCCTTGAGAAGACTTTACCCTCACTCAGGGTGTCATTTACATAGATAAGACATTTTGTAGGCAAGGTTTATGAGAAAAATGTTGATCTCCAAAAAGGAAGTGAATTTCTTCCTGAGGATGCACCTGTGACGGTGTACAGTGCAGTGATCGCCAGTAGAGCGATAACAGCAAAGTAGATGTTCAGTCCAAGAGCTTGCTGGATGAAAATGGCACCAGAGAACATGTCGGCCTGGGAGGAGACAGAAAGGATCTTTTACTTTAATTTGTTAAATGAATTGTTGAAATGTTCAAAGGTTAGAAAGAAAAAACCCATACAGAGATCTTTGTAAAGACGTAGAGAAAGAGGGAGAGCACAGAGAGATAGATACGAATCCGCTGTCCTCCGAACCTCTTCTTCAGGTACTCAGGCATGGTGACCACCTAGACAAATTTGATAATATTTCGTTTTATCAAGGCTCAATGACTATAACAGGTGCACTTTTCAACAGAAAATGCACATGCTGTTTACCCCAGCTTTGATGTAGATCGGCACAAAGAGCCATCCCAGAATAACGACAACAATAAGAGCCTGGAACAAACAAAACATGGCAAAACATTGAAACAATCAAGAAAATATTAAACATAAACAGGATTTTTACTTCTCAGTTTCTCCAAACCAATTATTTTGCATTATGAGATCTTGTCTTTCCTATTTGGAAAACATACCACAAATACTCACGTTCCACTCAAATCCACCAACGGCAATTCCAGAAGCTGCAGCAGTACCAGCGATACCTACAAAGTGGCCGCTGCCAATGTTGCTGGCAAAGAGTGATGCTCCGATCTGTAAAAAAAAAAAAAAAAATGTTTGTTTAATTTACAAAGGGGTCCCAAAACAATCTAATGAACACACTTGGAACATTTTCTGTCTTTAAGGCACTTTCAGGATGATATGATATCTCATTCAGGACAGGTTTAATGTAAGGAATGCAGAAGTTATAGCTCATGCCCTGGATGAGACTGTGTGTGTGGAGATTCTTGAGATTCTAATTCTGACTACAGCCCACATCTTATGAATCTCCCCAAAACTATTGAACGGGATCTGCATGTCAGTCCTGTTGTTGTGGATTTTACAGTTGCAGGAAACCTTTTTTCTATCTCACTTTTTCCTTCCAGTCAATTATCTATTAACCTCTTTGGATACAGCCCTCTGTGAATACTCAACTTCTTTAGCATTGACTTTTTGTGACTTTCCTCACTGATAAGACAACTGTCAAGTCAGCAATCCTCCATGTGTAGGCCTTAACTTGGCCACACCATTTGTTATTGGTGTGTTTGTCTTTCTTATTTTGTGGGTGGCATGGGTAGTTCGTTTATCTATGCTGACATAATCATAATGAACCTTATGCACTAACATATATAGTATGCAGTAAGTTGTTTAATTGGATTACTGAATACAATTAACTTTTTGATTATTTTGTAAGACATTCAACTCTAAACTGTGACAATAAAAAGCTTTACCTCATTATGTCTTATAGATGGGAAATCATTGTCTTTCTTATGACGTTAAACGTTAACTCAGGAGTAGATAAGATCGACAGAACCACCTCATTTACAGCCTTGTTTAATTTGGTCATGTTTGCAGGAATGTATTCTTTTTTCTGATTTCTTTTCCAAGCATTACAGTGAGGAAAGATTTGGTCTCATCTGTCCATTTTAAGAAAAGTCTCATGGTTCCACTCTTGTTACCACTTTGCAATCCTGGCTTTTCAGTGTTCAGCATTCTCCTGCAAACCCATCCTAACAAGCCAAGCTTCTGTAGTTGTTTTTAGTTTTTTATATTTTTTCTTTTTTATTATTATTTCTTCTGACTAATTCTTCTATTAAAGACCTCAATTAGTATTTACCACGCTGGGGCCTGTGCAGCCACAGATTCAGCTTCATTTCAACAGATTCAAGCCCATTTTGAACGAAAACAACAAATTGGATTTTTGCTGCTTCTTACCCATTCAGTCCAATCTAACTTGTATGTGACCAACGTGTCACCCCTGTTCAGGAGAGTGAACTTTTTTTTAATTGTACCTCTTCTCCATCACATCTGTAATAGTTCTCAAGACTGTTAAAAAAATTAATCAGTTACAAAATGTTTCTCATTTGTTGTCAGATACCCACCGGCCACCACACCATACTCCTTCCTGCAAGGAAAAAGCCACCCACAGTGGATCGATTGGTGCGGACCATGGCCTGCAACAGGACAAGGAAATACAAAACAAGCTTATTATCCATTTTAGCTCTAAGTTAGTGTTCTATACACTGAGCAACACAGAACACCAGGAATAGTTTACAGATTAGCCATGACATTCCTTTATGATTCATTTTTGTGCAAAAAAAAATTAGTTTAATCTGTTTGTTTTACCTAAAGCAGCAGCAAAAAAAGCATTTAATTTTTGTAGCAATTTGCTTAAGCAGTTTACAACTCACAGCAACACAACTGTAAATAAATCATGCAAACACACTTTCGATTAGTTGACAGTTTGCAACACTTACAATAACTCCCACAGCCAAGACAACCAGAAAGTAGATGACGATAACAGAGATGTCGGCT